AAAATTTTTCAATTTTTTTAACCGGTTACACGAGGCTCCCCCCTTAACGTCGTGGAATCGGTTTTTGACAAAAAAAAATTTTCTGGTCCATGCACGTTGCTCAATTTGGGGAAATTTTTTTATTTCCGGATTGGTTCGTTCAATGGAGGATAACTCAGTTAAAAATGATGATACGAGAGTTTTCTGCGAAGATTCGGAAACTAGAAGATTCAAACTTCAAAACGCTTTTCTTAAAAATTTTTTTCGTCCATTTTTTGCGGAGATACAGCCGCTCAAAAAACACCCAAAAATCGACCCGAAATTTTCTATCCCCTAATTTTGACGCGTAGTGTAGATTCAAAAGCAAACTTTTTTGAATAAATATTAAACGACTATGCCGAGCAAGTAATAGTGCGTTCGCGATGACTGCATTATTGCATCGGTGCCAACTTGTGCATGCGTAGTAACCAACTAATCAACTAGCTATGGTAAATTAACTATAGCAAAACGCGGACAGAGACTTTATTTTGATTTGGAATTTTTCATTATCTTCATCATTATCTTCTGATATTATTATCATAATTATCTTCTGACAGCTCAGAACAAAGTATATAAAATTTTAAAAGAAATTCAAAAATCTACTCCAAAAATGAAAAATTATGAGGGATATAGCAAATAATTATACAGGGTGTCCCAGACTTACCGTAACACCTGTTAATGACAGATTTTTGAGATCATTGGAGACGAAAATCTTAATACCAAAATGTCGAGGCTGCTATAGTTTTTGAATGAGAAAGGTTTAAAGTTCACCAATCAGCTTGTCAAAATTTCACGCGTTCATGGACATAGCAGCTCGAAAGAGCCCTTGCATAACACTTTACTTATTAGCTCACTTTATTCATTTTATTTCTTTGTACACCGTTGCAACACTAGCGAATTTTGGAATGAGAATAGTTTCTAACTTGTCATATTAAAGCGATGCGCGTCGATGCGGGAAACAGGATTTGTAGTGCCCAACAGACGAATTAATGTTGTCGTTGAACGTTACGCTTGTATTGTACAAAATAATTCAACACATACCAACTGCAAAAAATGCGCTAATTTGTATTAAAAGTTGAAATAAAAATTTAATGTTGCGTACTTATAAAAGATGTTCGAAACGTTCACCGTCGCATTGGATGTATATTAAATTTTGCTGCGTGTTACGCAGCATTTCTGGTGTTATAATCGCAAATGTTTCGATTATTTTTTTTTTTGAGTTTCTCACGATTATTAATGCGGTCTCGGTAAATGTATTGTTTTATTGTGTCCCAAAGAAAAAAATCCAACGACGTCAAATCTGGAGATCTCGCTGGCCAATTAACAATACCTTCGCGGCCTATCCATCTTTCCTGATAGCTCGCATTCAACACGCGACGCACGCGTAAAGATGTATGAGGCAGCGCTTTGTCGTGTTGGAAAAACATTTCTTGTTTTTAATTTAATGGCACATTTTCCATTAATTCTACCAAGTCTGTTTCCAAAAAATTGCTGTAAACATGTCCAGTGAGTCTCGCGGGCATTTCAAACGGACCAATCTGAAATTGGGGCTCATATAAGAAATGAAATTCGTAGAATCTTACACATTTTTGTACAAAATCGTAAAATTTACTATCGAGGTATTTAATATGCCAGCTCATAAATTGATATTGAACCGATGCTGGTAATTTTTTATGTGATATCCGTTTGGATTCTCATTAACCCAGATATGTGTATTGTGCGTATTGAAAATACCGTATTGAAAAAATGCGTAAAGCACGATTCATGAATAAATAAGATGTTATTTACAAAACCGGGTTGATTCTCTTCTTTATTTAGTAGCCATGTATAAAATCTCACTCTTGCTTCATAATCTTGGGGCAATAAATTTTGCACCTTAGTATAATGGTAAGGTAAATGTCCCAATTAGTGACAAAGTTACCTCGTCGTGAAAATAAACTAATAAATTATCGATATATATGTCACAATAAGTATATAAAATTAATTTTATTAGAAAATTTGGACATTTAAGATTCTGATAAAATTAAATTTTCTTACTTTTTTAAAAATTCTTAATTTATTTATTATATCTTTGTAAATATTGTTTCTGTACCATTTAGTGACACATGAATTTGAAATTGTCCCAATTTGTGACACATGCTTAGTTTATATCAGCGCTCGGAATTAGTTGCACATTTCGGGCCAATTCAAGAGACGACGCCTCCTGTTCCCCCACTACCGCTCGGCCGCCAGCGGCCGGGCGGTAGTGGGGGGACAGAAGGCGTCGTCTCCAGAATCGGCCCGAAATGTGCAACTAATTCCGAGCGCTGGTTTATATCACCGA